TTCGATAAATAGAATAATCTGAGAAATTCTATAAATCGAACGGGGCGTTACATCGGCCACTTGCCGTTCGATCTCAGTTTTCTGAAAGTGAGCGTACCTATAAAGGTGGACGTGTACGGCATTCTTCTCATTGACAAGTGGTATGTGGTGATCAAACTCTCGGTGGGGTGGTAGTCCCTTAGGCTCGCCTAGTACTCCTTCAAACTCTTCGAGAAGCTCACGCACATCTCCTTGCTGTTGCTCGTCTTTGTCCGTGTGCGCCCTAGTGTTCTCGACTACTACTGCAAAGATTTGGCCGCCACCTCGCCAAACTCTTTCAATGCTCTTTAATCTGACTTTCTTGGTACCCTTTTCAATGCCAGCACTTCGAGTGACTTGTCGACCTCTAGAATTAAACTCCATGATCCCAGTTCGATAGTCGGTAGTCACTTTGCCTAACCCTTCGAGCCATTGTACTCCCAGAACGACGTCTGGCCCGACCAAGGGTAAGGCATAGAGATCAGCTTTCACAGTAACCCCGTTGAACTTGATTGGCACCTTTCGAAATGACTTAGTATATTGTAGCCTCTCACCATTGGCTACTCGAACCTCGAAGGGCTCGATCTTCGTGGTTGGCAACTTCAGTTTTTGAGACAACTCAGCATTAATGAGGTTGTGTGACGAACCGTTGTCTACGAGCACGATTACCCTACGATCCTTAACCCATGCTGGTAGTCGCATCGTCCTTGGCCCTCTTATCCCAGCCATTGCGTGCATCGAGATTTCTGCCTCCTCATTGAATGCTTTCAATTTGTCCGCTGGCTCCAATTCTTCCTCGACTTCGGCTTATTCTTCGTCAGAATTGGCTACCTCAATTACAAAAGCTTGTTCGCATTGATGGGTCGGGGTAAACTTTTCTTCGCATTTAAAGCAGAGGCGTTTCTCGCGTCTCCGCTTGACTTCCTCGGGCGAAAGCCGCCTGATTACTGGCCCCGGTGGTCGAGCATTGATGGCCGGTCGTGAACCCGCGGTCATTTGGCTCGAGCCCGTTCAACGCGTGTCGGTGAATCGGGCGTCCGCCCGTCCCCTTCGTGTTGCGACTAGGTGATCCTCGCGTCGTCGGGCAACCTCTATAGCCGTGTGCATGGTTTCTAGCCGTTCTAGTCGAACTTCTGCGGCTAGATCGAATTTAAAACCGCCGATGAAGGCTCCTATCAATGCGTCTTTGGGCCAATCACGTACGCGTCATGCCAATCATTTGAACTCCCTGATGTATTCGCGCAAGCTGCCTGTCTGCCGTATGCGTGTGAGAGCCTCGTTGTAGTTATGGTAATCAGATGTACCGAACCGTTTAAGCAACTCACTCTCAAAGATATCCCAAGTGATAATTGTTGGAGTAGTATTCCCGGCGTTCCAATCAGATTGGACGTATTCTACTTGTAAATACAATCTATTGGAATTATATTAAATAATAAGG